GCACCAATTGTGAGTTGGGCTATGTTGGAAAGTGCCTTCATGGGGGGTTTCTTTCCCCGTGAGCTGAGAGAGGCAAAAGTAAGAGAATTTCTCACTTTTAATCAGGAATCCATGGGTGTGCATGACTACAACCGCAAGTTCACTGAACTGTCCTATTATTCTCCGAAGATGGTTGCTGATATGCGGAGCAGGATGAGCTTGTTTGTATTTTTGTTTTCTCGCTTGTCGAGTAAGGAGGGTAAGGCAGCTATGTTGTTAGGGGACATGTGCATAGAAAGTATGATCCATGTGTAGCAAGTTAAAGAGGACAAGTTGAGAGATAGGGAAGAGTTCACAGCAAGAAGGCTAAGACAACAGGTAATGAGTCTGGGCAGCAAAAGGCCGGTAATGCAAACCGGTCATCTTTTCAACAAAAGTCAACTGGATCTGCTCCATCATCTGGTATTACACCTGCACCAAACAACAGAGATGAGTTTAGGAATAAGAATTCGTAGAACTTCAGAGCTCGACCTGCTCAGTCTCAATGTAGTGTGGCACAAGGGGCCAACTAGACTCCTGCATGTGCTAAGTGTGGTAGGAACCACCCAAGAGGATGTCGTGATTGCTCCACTGGCTGTTTCAAGTGTGGTAAGACGGTTCACTTCATGAGAGAGTGCCCTACGAACAGTCAAGGTAATGCTAATGGGGAAATAGAGCCTATTCTTCTTCAGCGGCTCTGGCAGATAGATCTGCACTTAGAGGATCTACTTCAAGGACAAGCGGAGGAGCAAACCATTTGTATACTATCACTTTTCGCCAATAACAAGAGAATTCACCTGATGTTGTCATATATATGATCAAAGTCTTTACTTTTGATATATATATATGCATTGTTTGATCCAGGTGCGAGTCTATCTTTTATTACTTTGTATATTGCTATAAGTTTTGATATCCTTATCGAGCAACTTCTTGAGCCCTTCTGTGTTTCCACACCTATTGGTGAGTTTATTCTAGTTGAGAGAGTTTATCATGATTGTACCATCTCTATCAATCACAAGGACACCATATCTGACTTAGTCGAGTTAGATATGGTGGAATTTGATGTTAATCTAGGTATGGGCTGGCTTCATGCTTGTTATACCTCAGTTGATTGTAGAACTTGAGTAGTTAAGTTCCAGTTTCCTAATGAGCCAGTTATAGAGTGGAGGAGTAGTTCAACAGTGCTTAAGGGTCATTTTATTTCATACCTTCAGGCCATAAAGTTAGTTTCTAACGGGTGTATCTATCACTTAGTCCGAGTTAATGAATCTAGTGTTGAGACACCGCCTATTCAGTCAGTCCCAGTTGTGAGTGAGTTTCCTGAGGACTTTCTAGATGATCTTCCTAAAGTCCCTCCAGAGAGAGAGAAATCGACTTTGGTATAGATATTCTTCCTAATACTTGACCTATTTCTCTTACGCCATATTGAGTGGCTTAAGCTAAGTTAATAGAGTTAAAAGAGTAGTTGAAAGACATTCTTGATAAAGGTTTTATTTGACCCAGTCTCTCACCTTGGGGAAATTCGGTCTTATTTGTGAGGAAGAAAGATGGGTCTCTTAGGATATGTATTGATTACCACCAATTGAACAAGGTTACTATCATGAATAAGTATCTCATTCTGAAAATTAATGATCTTTTCGATCAACTTCAGGGTGCCACTTGCTTTTCTAAGATAGACCTCTGATCTAGCTATCATCAGTTGAGAGTAAGAGAAAGTGACATCCCGAAGACAACATTCAAGACCCTCTATGGTAACTATGAGTTTCTGGTTATGTCCTTTGGCTTAACTAATGCTCCTACAATGTTTGTGGACCTTATGAACAGAGTGTTTAAGCCATATATGGACACATTTATTATCGTGTTTATTGATGACATTTTGATTTATTCAAGGAGTGTGGAGGATCATGCTAGTCGTCTCAGAATAGTTCTCCAAAATCTTAGAGATAGAGAGTTGTATGCCAAATTTTCTAAGTTTGAATTTTGGCTTAAGTCTGTGGCGTTCTTAGGCCACATTGTATGTGGAGAAGGGATTCGAGTTGACACTCATAAGATTAAAGCAGTGCAGAACTGGCCCAAACCCACCTCTCCAACTGATATAATGAGTTACTTTGGATTAGCTGGTTATTATAGAAGGTTTGTCGAGGGGTTCTCATCTATTTCATCCCCATTGACAAAGTTGACTCAAAAGACAGTAAAGTTTCAATGGTCTGAAGCTTGTGAAAAAAGCTTTCAGGAATTTAAAACGCGGTTGACTAATGCCCAGTGTTAACCTTACCGGAGGGTACACAAGGCTTTGTTGTGTACTGTGATGCGTCCAGAGATGGATTTGGTTGTGTTTTGATACAGAATGACAAGGTTATGGCCTATGCCTCCAGACAACTTAAGATTCACGAGAAGAATTACCCAACTTGTGATCTCGAGTTGACTTCCATAGTATTAGCTTTAAAAATATGGTGTCACTATCTCTATGGTGTTCATGTAAACGTGTTCACCGATCACAAGAGTCTTCAGTATGTTTTCAGTTAGAAAGAGCTTAATCTCAAACAGAGAAAGTGGTTGGAGTTACTCAAGGATCACTACAAGAAAAACAGTCTCTAAGGAAGGGAAATCTGGTCCCTGAAAGTTGAAATCTAGTCCCAAACGAGCTTTTGAGACCTGAAAATTCTGGTCGCCACCCGTCCTAAAAGCTTCCTTCGCTATCGCTCAACAAGGACGGGACAAAGAAACCAGTCGTTAAATGTTTTTGGGACGGGGATCTTATCTGGTCGCGAAATACCTTTAGGGACGTTAATTCTGGTCTCAAATAGACCAAAAATATTTTGGGAAATAAGTTTTTCAGGTCGGTAAAAAACTATAACGACCACTAAAAACTAGTCGTAATAATATTTAGAGACGATATAGATCTGGTCCTAGTAATTCCTAGCGACCATTAAAGACCTGTCCTTAGAATTGCTTTAAAGACGAGAACTATCTGGTCTTAGAAATACATATAGCGACTCACCAACCTCGTCCTAGAATACCTTTGGCGACTATCAACAACCCCGTCCTAGAATAGCATTAGAGACAAGCAGCAAGCGTGGACAAAGATTGGCCTTTAGAGACCAGAAATAATTATTGTCCTAGATTGAGCACTAATACATTTCATCAGCAAATCGAATGGCTACTAAAAATTTCTCTACAAAAAGATGATATATATAGAGAAGAGACAGAGACAATACGACATATGTAAAGAAAGCAATTCATTACAATAAACTAGTTGACATCCACGATCATTGGATTCAATATTTGTTTAACAAAAAAACATAGCTAACTTTCGAGTTAGACTAACATCAAGTTTTGCATTAAATTTGTAGCAAACTAATATTGATCTCATTCATCTTCTTCTAAACTTGTATCTTGCACATAACAATGAACAAAAACTAGGCAAAAAAATAAAAGTTCCAATCTTCATCGAGTGTTATCTAGAAACATCAACAAAAGCTGCAAGAAAATAAGAAAAAAATCTATTAGAAAAACTTTGAGATGCTTTAACTGAGAATCTAATATCTATTTTAAAGATTTACAACTAAATATATAACATCTGCAATGAACAAAAACAGGGCAGAAATCTCTTGTGTGAAATAAATATCATCTGGAACTAACTGACGAAACATTCACAAATATATATCATGGCGATCGATGTTCGAGGCTCCACACGAAACCCACTATTAGTCCTACTATTGTCCTCTTAAATATGTATCAAAGACCTGATTCGCCTTGAAAGGGCAGCAGAGAAAGGAAAGGCATTTGTAGTTGCGCGCCATTGAGGGAGTTGAAAAAAGCTGGCCGCAGAGCATTTGTTTCTGGTTGGTATTCGAACATTTTGTCTAGTGTTACTGATGACTTTTCCCAGTTCATGTGACTCATTCATGGTCATTGCAAGTGACATTTGTTAACCTTTTTTCTCTACAATCATTTCTGAAAATCCAAAGTAGGTAATATCTTCACTTTTAATCTCCTAAAGAATATAACAGAAAATAGATTTTCTGCAAGTCACCAGCAGTTTTTATGGTGTTTCCAGAACTGTAACAGTTGAGCCAAATGATACTGTTTTAGACGCAGCAAAAAAAATGTTTGAATCTCAAACAAGCTCGGCTATAGTGGTTGTTAATAAGAAACCACAAGGAATTTTAGCGTGGATATTCCAACTTTATGCACCTTAAAAAGATCAGCAGGGAATTGCGACATAAGTTCTTTGGAAGGTTTAGGAGAAGGCATAGCAGAAGCATAAGCCAAAGCCCTTTGAGGCACCGCAGCTATGAAGACTGCTCTCACAAAAGTCATAGTAGAAAGTGTAATGAAAGGGATCATTATTATGAGATTCGTAGCAGGATGAACAGAAGTACAATCCCTGACCACAGGAGGGGTAGAAGTAGGAGTCCCGGTGGCAGGAGAGACCGAATTCCAGTTAGGGATGACAGTGAAGAGAGGCGTGCAAGAATAGAGCAATGGAATCGGGAAAAAGAACAGGAAGAACTTGATAACATGGATAATGCAGACATTAATTACAAAAATGAAAGCAATGAAAATGAATTTGCTCCAAAAAAAGATGAGTATTATAACTAGCAATGACAATGAAGTGCATATGGATAATACATGAAAATATCGTGCTGGTTGTGGAGCCAAAGTCAGAGTCATACTGATGAATGTCTTAATCTAATGGTAAATATCTACATAACCTATCTGATGGTAAATATCTACAGCCACCACTGCAGAGACCAATGAAAAAGAAGCTAGTCCGACAAGAATGGCAATGTAAACTAGAGGGATGCACAAATTGGTTGTACAGTCTAGAAAAAGAACATTTAACCAAGAGATAGCAGAGGATGAGGACATTGCAGAGACTATTGAGGTAGATCTATCATCTCAAGAACTAAAATTCTTCATATAATAAAATAAAGTCGGGTATATTGTTACTTACTTAGTCAGCAGAAAAACAATAATCATTCAGTTGGAAGCGGTGATATTGTAGGTGGGACATCTGATTGTTGAGCAGCAAAGAGTTCTTTCATTTTCAATATTTCTTTCATTGCCTCTTCTAAGGTAGACAAGCGATCATTCAAGGATTTGTTTTCCTCATTCAAGGATTTGTTTTCTTCATTCAAGAATTTGTTATCATCTCTAGTTGAACGTAGCGCGGACAATATTTCAGCCTTTGAAGAAGTCCCACCTTTCAAATCTTTCGCCTTTACTCCACCCCCAAATCCAAATACATGGCTACGAGTTTGTGGTCCACAACATTTTTCAACAATCTCTATACTAGATAGGGATGGATCTTCTTGAACTATTTCCTCAAGTTGAGCCTACAAAATATATAAAAGGACATTTTCTATCAAAACACAACAATTTTTGGCTATTAACTTATTCAATTTACCAAACGTACATGTTTTTCAATTGCTTCAGGTTCAACAAGCTTGTTATCTTTCTTACGAGTCTCAAAGAAATAGTCGCCAAATCTGGTGGATTGCCATCTTTCCCACCCTTTACATCAAATTCAAACACGTCAAATAACACAAACCTTCGTAAATACTCCATCAGGGAAAATAGTTTTTTAACAATACCTTTTGATAAATAATCTCTCGAATAGGTTTGCTACCAATATGATGGAGCATCTTCAACTTAGATCGGTTTTTTGCATTCCTGATGCTTCTTTCCTGTATTTGTAAAACGTTAAACTTAATTAGAATAATTATAACAAAATTGTTAAAACATAAGGCATCTCAAGCTTCAAGGGTGTTTCCTAGTAATAAAATTAAGCAGTATACATACCTGAAAACTTTCAGAAGTAAAATGTTCTTTTACTAACCATTCCCATTCTTTTTTGTCTACTCCCCTTGGGATATTCTTAAGAGACTGTTGAATGGGCTTATCCTTCACATACTTTGCATGTAAGTATCCTCTCCATTTGTTCCATAACTCATTCATCCATCCCAAGATATGATCACGATGATCATTCATGTCAACAGCCTCAAATTTGTGCTACAAAAATTGGGACATGAGTTGAGTTATTACCAAGGGAGAAGAATCAAGAAAGGACAAAGCAGAGCATAACAGAGAAAGCAATACAAACCAGAGAAAGAAATGGCAAAACTGAAAAAAAAACAGAGAAGAATATATTGCAAAATAGAAAAACACAAAATAGGGGAAATTGCAAAACAGAGCTTTTTCTCGCTCTTACTAAAGTCTCGCTTCTCACTGTACCATCTGTAGTTCTGGATCATGTTATACAAATTAATGTCAACAAAGAGAGAATCATTACAACAGATCCTTGTTGCAGTAGAACAAGAACACATTTGTTGGACCACATTTATGTTAATGAAATATTTGAATGGAGTTTAAATTTGTTACCTCAACAGCTGCCCACATGTGACTTAACTTTTCTTGCTTAATATCACTCCACGAGGTTACTCCCAACGGACATATATTACGATCACGAACAATTTTTCCCAAATGCCTTGAAAACAATTTGCTCTTTGTTCCAACAGTTCGATTATTGTAAAATGTTATTTTCAGCTTTTCTCCATTTTCTAGTGAAGCAACTTCTTTGCACATGTTGCTCCCTCGAACTCTTCTTACCTTTGTAGGATAAGATGAACCTACGATGCATAATTTAATAAAAACTATAGAAATCAAATTCAACTTTAGAAATTAATAAGATATGGATTGAAAATAACGTACCTTTTTCAGTTGTTTGAGAGTGTTCCTTAACTTGATCAATAGATGGAGGCAATGAAATATTAGTTTGCATATCCTCTTTCTCAAGAATCATTTTATCCATTCTTTGCATTTCTTGACTAGACGACATGGTCAAATTCGCTCTTGTGCTTTTAGAAGGAGTTTTGATATGTTGATTAGCATAAAGAGCACTCTTGTTAATATTTTCCACCTCAGATTCAGAAGTCATGTAGTTGTTATGTTTCATTCCCATTCCTTGACTAGTAGAAAAATTAGAGCTTTTAAATCCTTGTCCTCGCCCCTTCCCTATCAAACCTGGAGAAATCAAATCATATTAGCAATACTTTAGCCTAGTGCTTCAGAGAGGAAGAAGTTGAAAAAAATTAACAAGTACTTGCAGAGAAGATTAGATTGTTAAACAGAAAAAACATAGCGTAATACAGAAATTGAAAAAGTAATACAAAGAAGAGAAAAAATGGTTGCTCTTTGGGGAGCTACGATGTGCTACATCTGGAAAGTACGAAACTGAAAATAGTTCAAAGGTATTACAGACAAACTTGAACTTTTGTTTGAAAACATAGCAGATTTCCAAAAATCTTGTCTAGACTTCTTGGGTATATATATAGCTTACCTAGATTAGTCGATGCATGTGCTGAGGGGTTAGTTTGCTTGTTCTCTTTCTCAAGATCAATGGAGTTATTAGGTAATGTTGTTATTCCTTGACTAGTAAACAAAGTAGAGTTTGTAAGTCCTTGTCCTCGGCCCTTCCCTACACAACATGGAGACAACAAATCATATTATCAATACTTTAGAGTATTCTTTTTGAGAGCGAGAAACTGTAAGAAATAACAACGGCTCAAAGAGAAGATAAGATTTTGAGACAGAAAAAAACAGAGCATTATACAGAAAAAATAACAAGGGCTATGTTTTCACTATCGACTCACTTGAGGGCAGAAAAGTGATAAAAGTATGATTCATTTCACTTCTCATTTTAAGCAACAAAACACAATATCGTAACAACCTACTTTAGCACTTACGTTTATACAATGGTGGCACCTAGTCATTTCAATATTGAATAACAAATTTGAGAAAAAGAAGAGATTTACCAATAATTTAGAATAGTGTTTTAGAGAGGAAGAAGCTGAAATTTTTTTGACAAGTACTCGCAGAGAAGATTAAATTGTTAAACAGAAAAAAACATAGCGTAATAGAGAAATTGAAAAAGTAATACAAAGAAGAGGGAAAAAATGGATTCAGCCATGAAATAGGAAATAATCTTTGAGAGTTATAAAAGTAAGATAGTGTTACTACTAATTTTATTGTGCACATAAGCTGGAGGTGTGAAAATATGAATACATGTTTCATCCTCTTATCTAACTATAAGAAGTTTAAGACGGAAATGGTGGTTGCTCTTTGGTGAGCTACTATGTGCTACATCTGGAAAGTAAGGAACTGAAAATAGTTCAAACGTATTATAGACAAACTTGAACTTTTATTTGAAAATATTGCAGATTCTCAAAAATCTTACTTGTCTACACCTCTTGGGTGTTTTTCCTACCTAGATTAGTCGATGCATGAGCTAAGGGGTTAGTTTGCTTGTTCTCTTTCTCAAGATCAATGGAGTTCTTAGGTATCGTTGTCGTTCCTTGACTAGTAAACAAAGTAGAGTTTGTAAGTCCTTGTCCTCGGCCCTTCCCTACACAACATGGAAAAAACAAATCATATTATCAATACGTTTGAATATTCTTTTTGAGAGCGAGAAGATGTAAGAAATAACAGCGGGTCAAAGAGAAGATTAAATTTTCAGGACAGAAAAAAACAAAGCATTATATTAAAAAAAAAAAAACCAGATCACTGGATTGAGAAACAAAACTCTTACTTGTTTCAATTTCTTGGATGTAGTGATTAACCAGATCACTAGATTGAGAAACATAACTCTTAGTTGCCAAATTTCTTCTCTCAACCAAAGATTTAAGCCCTCGTCCTCGGCCCTTTCCAATAGCACCAGGCGCAACAAATGTATATCTGATAGTACTCTTCACAGATGAGTCAGCCTCATTTTCAGTTTTCAATGGTTTCATCTTGAACCTGCAAAAAAGAGCCAAAAATATATAAATAATAAGAAGACATTTACGACAATGTAAGAATAAAAGAAATCATGTCATCGTAAAGTGTAACAATGAATATATTAATTCAGAAAAATATACTTCACCTCATTAGTTCTTTTACGTTTCTTTTGTGAAGGACTTCCTAACTCTACAATATCATCATCCATTTGTTCCACAATATCATAGGAATCACGAGGTTGAGTCTTCTTCACTACTTGCCAACCTTTATTGGAATTATCATTAGCATAAAACACTTGAGATGCTTGGTCCGCTAAGACAATGGCTCATTTGTTTTCAAGAATCTATCTGGATTAACACTCACGAAATCATACTCATCTTTCTTAACTCCTTTTATTTCATCATACACATCAAACCAATTACAACGAAATAAAATCACTCTTCTATCCATGACAAATTGCAACTCAATCACATCTGTTAAAACTCCATAGTAATCAAGGTTCTCACTATCTTTATCATTCTCACCCAATACAACGACACCACAATTTTGAGTCCTTAACTTTTTATCATAATCTTCCACATGAAATCTATATCCATTCACAATGTAACCATTAGAATGTGTCGAATATCGGGTAGGACCGCGTGAAAGCGAGAGAAGATCTTCCATGATACGACTAGCATCTCCTTTATGTAATTGTGCTACCTATCATCAAGATTATGATTATTACTTTAGAATGCGTATTACAATATTAAAATATAAAATTTTATGTTTATGTATTACTCACCCTATCTTTAAACCAATCAATAAATTGTCGATTCCATTCTACATCAGACAAGTGGCATGCATTCTCATGAGTTTGTGCAAACTCTCTACAAAATTGAAGTGAACCATAAATATCATATAAAAAGAAATAATCGTATGGCGAAATAATAATGAGAAGATATGAAAGAACTCTCCATACTCGAGATATGGTAAGACTTCATCACAATTCTTCAGTATGTATATGTGTGCTTGCTCTAATTCATCTGCTTCAAGCTCAAATGGAGTTTTAGCTCCCAGAGTTTTTCCAGGTTGACAAAATAGTGATAAACCTCCATTAGATTGCTTTAAACCCCCATCATAATTTCTTTCGGGCCGATTAAATTTTGTGTCAATTCTACGCAGATACCTTGAGCATAAGGTCATACATTCATTTGCAATGTAGCCCTCTGCAATACAACCTTCAGGACACACCCTATTACCAATGAAAGATTTTAGAAAATATAACCATCGTTCCACAGGATACATCCATCGATAATGAATCGGTCCAGCAATCTTAGCTTCAGTAGCTAAATGAATAGGTAAGTGAACCATGACATCAAAAAATGAAGGAGGGAAGACCTTTTCTAACTTGCAAAGTGTAATGGGAATTTGAGCTTCAATATGTTCCAAGTTATCAATTCTCAACTCCTTTGATCCAAGAACACTAAATCTTGTGATCTTTCAAGTTTACACATTGAGAAATATTAGATGAAAATCCATCAGGAACCTTTAGATTCTTTAGGAAAAGGCATAACTTGTGCTTCTCTTCGGGAGACAATGTGTAGCATGCAGTTGGAATTTCAATTTTCTCCCCATTTTGGATAGGGTGCAATTCTGGCCTAATGTCCATTTCTTGCAAATCTAACCGAGTTTTAATTGTGTCCTTGGTCTTTCCTTTGACATTCATGATTGTCCCCATAATATTATCACATATACTTTTTTCAATATGCATAACATCCAAATTATGTCGCAACAACAGACTCTTCCAATATGGAAGTTCAAAAAAGATACTTTTTTTGTTCCAATTATCCTTTCGATTTTCATGTGATATCTTCTTCCTGTTCTTTGGATCCTTTGATAATTGTATCCCTTCAAGATCCTGCACTTGATTAAGTATCTCAATACCAGAACGCATTTGTGGCGGGGGTCTTCTCTCATTTGTACCATCAAATGACTTCTTCTCATTCCTCCATTTGTGATTATGAGGAAGGTAACGTCGATGACCCATATAACACTGCTTCTTACCATTAGCTAGTCGAGTTGATGAAGTGTCTTTATTGCAACATGGACATGCCAATTTTCCTTTTGTACTCCATCCAGATAAATTTCCATATGCTGGAAAGTCATTAATGGTCCACAACAAAGAAGCATGCAACTTAAAATTCTTTCTAGCTGACACATCATATGTCTCAATGTCATAGGTCTCAATACCAACTTCCCACAATTCTTTTGATTCCTCTATTAAAGGCTGAAGATATGTATCAATTGCATCTCCTAGGCCATTTGGACCAGGAATAAGCATTGACAAAATAATATTTTCTTGTTTCATGCACAACCAAGGTGGTAAATTATAAGGAATAAGCACCACTTGCCAAATGCTATGTGAGGTTTTTGAATTTCGGAATGGCTGAAATCCATCACTAGCAAGTCCAAGTCGAACATTACGAGGCTCAGCCGCAAATGAAGGATGAAGTTCATCAAATGACTTCCATGCCATTGAATCAGCTGGGTGCCTCATTATTCCATCATCAACTCTTTTATCCTTATGCCATGTCATAAGAGTAGATGTCTTTGTAGACATAAACAACCTCTGAAGTCTAGGCTTTAAAGGAAAATAGCGTAAGCTCTTTGATGCTATTTTTTTTCCTTTTTTATTCCTTGTTTCCCCGCTATGTGTTGCTATCTTCCATCTAGACGCCCCACAAACTTTGCAAGAATCGAGTTGGCTATCCTCCTTCCAGTATAACATGCAATCATTAGTACAAGCATCAATATTGTTGTAAGAAAGGCCGAGTTCTTTAATTATCTTCTTTGCCTCATAATATGAGTTTGGCAAATCGATGCCATCCGGCAACAACTCCTCTTTCAACATTTTCAATAACATTGTAAATGACGCATTACTCCAACGACCCATACTTTTGATGTGAAGCAATTTAATCAAAGAGGAAAGCTTTTGAAGCTTTGGAATTTTGATATAGTGGCTGCTCGAAATCCTTCAATAGGCTATAAAATCTTTTTGCTTCAACATTTGGTTCCTCCTCAAGTACATCATCACCATCAGTATGTGTAGTTCCTCCATCAAGATTAGGATATAGATCTCTCAACAGTTCTTCTACTTCATCCTCACTCTCACATTCTTTTACTTCATCACCATCTTCATATTCAAATTCAGATTCTGACAATGGCTCACCCAAACGTTCTCCATGGTGATACCAAAAAGTATAATTCTTAATTATTCCATATACTTGTAAATGTGTCTCAACTGTTTTACGAGTTCCTAAAGTTGTATTGTAACATTTGACACATGGACATCGTATTTCATATTCTTCTCCTGTTTTTTGAAAAGCATAATCCAAAAACTTTTGCACGCCTACTAAATAGGTTTCATCTAGCCGATGGTCAACTAGTTGCATCCATTGCTTACTAGGAGCCATAACCTTGAAAAGTACATAAAAGTTAGATTAAAAAAGATAAAGGATAAAAAAAATACTAAGATACATACAACTTGTTATAATTAGATGCACAAAATAGAAATGTGTGTTATGATTGATACACAACTTGTTAAAACGTACACTACTTGTCTAAAAGAATTATTCATGGTGTTCCATTTAACTCATCTCAAGATAAGATAAAATGGAGTATCTAATTATTTGATAGAGAAGCTTATTGTACATCTCACTCAACTCACATGTGACTTTTTGGATTTCAAAAATGATTCAAATGCATTTTTTAACAAAAAAATAATCAGATTGCACTAAGAAACATAAAAGATTACTTATCTTAAAACATGTAATCTTCTATAGCTTTGTACTTACACAAAATAGTCGTTTGTGATTAAAAAATTCTTGTTGGTAGTCGCTTGTGATTGAAAAGTCTTGGCTCATAACTAACTTATCCTAATGTTAAGAATTACTTAATCGCATCCTCAAACTAATACATAAAGAAAGAATAAAGCAAACTTGCAATTCCAACTATATGCTACAGTGGTTATAAGTTTAAACTCCAAAATACCACATTTTCCATCACTAAATCATAATAGAGGTGAATGTTTGTTTAAGTTTGAGAATTAAATTTAAATTCATATATATATATATCAGTCATGCAGCTGTGCATAGCATGAAAGGATTAATATAAAATCCTATCATACTCCATTTATCAGAAATACAACTACACATAATGGTTCTGGCCCTGTGCTGGGTCATGGATATCTCATCTCTTAGCTAAGAACCTAAGACATGGTGCTACAGGAGCCGAGCAAATGACTCTCAAGATTTCAAGAACATAAAGTTGTTGACAATCGCCTATGAACTTGAGTGGTTTATGTCATCTATTATGTAATTGTACTTTTACAATGAAGAATGTTTTTTTGAATCTTTAGTGTCTTTTTTTTCTATAGCAAATGATACAACTAGTAACACAGGTGATTGGGTTCTTATGAACATAATAATCTTTTTTTTTTGGTTTTCCACTCCATGTTTGGAATCTGTTTTGGGGCACCGACTAATTCGGACAACTGTTGTGTAAGACTCGTTAAACAGAGATGTGCTCTCTACCAGATTATTTTCCATTTTCAGGTCTCAAAGTAAAGCTTCTGGTTAAAGGTTTAGGAATTATACCCATCCTACCACAATCCTTAATGACAAACATGATAATCGTATTGAACCTAATCTTCATGATAATATGAAATTGTACAGTTAAGACAGCCAATATGTTCAAAATCTAGACTTACTATATTGAGTTTTGAAACTTTTCTTCTGTTTATTATAAGGTGTCCAGTTGGAGAGATTTCATGAAGGGACGAAAGAAGGTAAGACTGTTATTACCTTATATTGCAGGTTAAGAAATGAGAAATTCCGCCTCCAAAGTTGAAAACAGAAGATCCCAATAAATCTTATGTTCAGCGACCTATGAAACGAGGTTAAACACATGTACTCAATTAGTTTTGTTTCAGTGATATTTAAAGTTTGAACTGACTATGGTGGAGTGTAAGCTTCACACTTGTATCAATTTGTATCTGTAGCACACTTGGTTATTCTGCAGCAAAATATATTTAGCACCCTATTTTAGATGTAAATTAAGTTAGACTATACATATATGGGGATCCCTTAATTATTGCATTTGGCATACATTTCTGTCTACGAACTGAATCCTGATAGGTTATTCGTGATATATATGTTATATGCATATATGACAGGTGAAATAGGAGTCACTGTTGTGGAGTTTTATCTATGGAACTTGATTGTCCATTATATTGGCTCTATTTTTCAATTACAGAAGTTAAAAAAGAGGAAGAACAAATAGAGTAGCTTGAATACAATAATAAAGAAAACGACCTCAATAAAACATATAGAAGAAACACAACAACTCAATTGGAAGTAGAACCAACCTGGAATTCTGTTTCGAGCAAAGCTGGGGTGCAAGTCTGTTTTGAGCAGAGCAGCAACGATTCAAGCAAAAAGACGCGATTAGGAGAGGAACGTCAAGATTAAGCAGGAAGAACAAAGAGTGCAGCTTGAATACAATAATGAAAAACGACATCAGTAAAACATATCAAAGAAACACAACAACTCGAATGGAAGAGGAACCAACCTGAAACTTCGTTTTGAGCAAAGTTGGAGTGGAATTCTGTCTTGAGCAGAGCAGCAACGATACAAGAAAAAAGATTGGATTAGGCAGAGGAACATCAAGATAAGATTATGCAGGAAGAAAAAAAAGAGTAGCTTGAATATAACAATGAAAAAACGACATCAACAAAAGATATAGAAGAAACACAACAACTCGATCGGAAGAGGAACCAACCTATAATTCTTTTTCGAGCAAAGCTGGGGTGGAATTCTGTTTTGAGAATAGCAGTAACTATACAAGCAAATAGACGCGATTAGGGCAGAGGAACATCAAGAAACGTCAAGATTAAGCAAAAAACGTGAAGAGGGCAAAGTGATGACCTTGATGATCAGATGCAATGGTGATCTAGAGCTCAAACTAGGGCATTAGGACGGGCTGCTGTACTATGAGGAAAAAGACGATGGTCTTTTCATTTACCTTCAGTATACTTTTATTTTAGCGCTTAAAATTTTGTTAAAGCTGAAAATTTCATTTTTTTAATATTTTAATATAAAAATTGGCGAACTTTTCCCTCGCTCAAGGCCCTCAATATAATTTGGGACTAGTGAATTAAATTTTTAAGGACTAGATTTAATACCTTCTCAATAAAATGTACAAATAAGGACCGAAATATAATCTCGTCCTAATAGATATACTTTTAGAGACGTGATAATTCACTCGTCCTTAAATGTTGGTCTTAAATAAGGCTTTTTCTTGTAGTGGATTATGACATGAGTATTCTCTATCACCTAGGTAAGACTAATTTTATTGTTGATTCTTTGAGCAGGTTTTTTATGGGTAGTATTACCCATGTTCAAGAAGGCAAGAAAGAATTAGCCAAAGATGTGCACATACTCTCACGACCGAGAGTCCGGTTAATGGATTCCAATGAAGGTGGAGTGCTGGTGATGAATGGCGCTAAATCATCACTAGTGTCTGAAGTAAAAGAGAAGCAAGACCAAGACCCTGTTTTGCTTTAATTGAAGGTAAATGTTCATAAACAAAAATTAATGGCTTTTGAACAAGGGGGAAATGGTGTATTGAGGTATTAAGGTAGATTGTGTGTACCAAAGGTGGATGAGCTTCAAGAGAGGATCATGATAGAGGCCCATACTTCCAGATATTCGATCCATCCCGGTTCCAAAAAGATGTACCGTGACTTGAGAGAATCTATTGGTGGAGTAGTATGAAGAGGTGTATTGTAGGGTTTGTTGTTAAGTGCTCGAATTGCCAACCAGTAACGGTAGTGCACCAAAGGCCCGATGGTATAGCTCAGACCATAGATCTTCCAGAATGGAAGTGGGAAATGATCAATATGGACTTCATTACTGTCTTGCCGTGATCTCGCAGGCAACATTATTCGATTTGGTTGATTGTAGATCGGATGACTAAATCAACCTATTTTTTATCGGTAAAGACTACCATTTCGGCAGAATATTATGCCAGATTATATATTCAAGAGATAGTCAGACTTCATGTAGTTCCTGTGTCTATCATTTCAGATAAAGGTACACAGTTCACCACACAATTTTGGAAGTCTTTCTAGAAGGGTTTAGGTTCGAAGGTAAATTTGAGTACTACTCTCCATCCTCAGACTGTTGGTCAAGTAGAGCATATGATTTAGACTTTAGAAGATATGTTGAAGGAGTGTGTGATCGATTTCAAGGGTAATTGGGATGATCACTTACTTCTCGTAGAGTTTGCTTACAACAACAGTTATCAATCTAGCATCCAAATAGCTCCTTATGAGTATCTATATGGGAGAAGATGTAGATCTCCTATTGTATGGTTTGAGGTTGGTGAAGCTCGGTTGATAGGACCAAACTTAGTTCATCAAGCTATGGAGAAAGTGAAGATCATTCAAGAAGGGTTGAAAACAACGCAAAGTCATCAGAAATCCTATACAGATTCTAGGAGAAGAGACTTGGAGTTTGAAGTGGATGATTGGGTTTACTTAAAGGTTTCACCCATGAAGGGTGTTATGAGATTTGGCAAGAAGGGGAAGCTTAGTACCCAGTATATTGGTCCTTACAGGATATCCAAGAGAATAATTGACAATGTACCTTATGAGTTAGAGTTACCGTCAGAGTTAGCAGCAGTCCATCCGGCATTCCACATTTTAATGTTGAAGAAGTGTATGGGAGATCCTTCTCTTATTATACCTACGGAGAGTATTGGTATTAAGGACAACCTATCTTACGAGGACATACCCGTTGATATACTTGATCGTCAGGTTCGCAAGTTGAGTACCAATGGGGTAGCATCAGT